TGAAAGACGAACATTAAAATAAGACTTTTATTTCATTACTCTTGAATTATTAATTGAATATCCATAATAAATGTTGTGTAACTAAAATAAACAGACGAATAAATAAATTAGAAAAAAAATCTAGTATACAGGATATAAAAATATCAACTATAGGAAATTTCATGTCATGAAATGATTCTTATTTGCTTCAGTTAAGAATAATGATGTCAAAATACTTATATAACAATGCAATGTAAAGGAAACACTCACATGTACGTATATATATGTACATATATATATATATTATGAAAATTACTATCCGTGTATGCCAGACGTTGACATGTGTTATGGGAAGCAGATGTATCGCCGATTTTCATCAATGTATTGATTTTTCTTTATCTATAATTCTTTATGTGCTAAATAAGATTCCTTATTTTGAGTCTTTCTATATTTTATTATATTGAGTGTCTATATTGATTTATATTGTTTATCTACCGAATAATTTTAGCCAATATATCAACATGTTGCAGTGTCCTTCACTGAAAGGTATACACTTAAAAAAATGCTTTAAAACCTTAAATTGACGAATATGAATACAAAACAAACAAGCAAAACTCAATTACACACGGAATAATTTAACTGCCTTTTCTTTTAATTTTGTAGTGAACCCAGTTACACGAAGTGAACAATATCAGTAAATTATTCTGACTTCTTTTTAAGCCTATTTATAACACATTCAAGGATTCTTGTGTTTTTTCTGCTAGCCTCCCAGCGCACGTTGTCTGACAGAGTATTTTTGTTTGTTTTGTTTATCAGTGCTGTTTTGTTCAATTTTAACAAACTGTTGCTACAGTGTTTGTGTTAACAGAATTCTGTCTTCTGGCTAACACTCACGTTTTCAAACATGTTCACGCAAAGAGCAAAAATACTCCCAACTACAAATGTGATAGTGATGTAGTATTTTTTACAGTAGAGAATTTTACAATTACCAAATACAAGCAATTGAGCTTACCCTTTCGTCGTCATTCTTCGTACATGTAAGTTTATAAAGACCTTATCGTGTGGAAAATTTGATAAACATTTAAGACATCCGGTACATTTATCTGTCTGATAACATTTTTATTTACAGTTGTTGTCACCGACTGACGTGTATTTCATAATTTCTATAATGGAACAAAAACTAGTGAACATCTGGTTAACAACTAGATCATGCTAGCTAGTATCTATAAGTAAATACAACATGTTTTATAAAGGCAATCCTATTTGCTTCAATTTCTGTTTTCCGAGTTTTGCTCTGATCATATATTGATTTCCCAATTTGAAATGTTGGAGTGTCATTATCCGGTTATCAAAATCTGGTCTAGCCGTTTGCATGACCTATGCCTCTGAAATAACTGTGTCATATAGTATAGCATTCTGTATATTCTGATTGTCTCGCTGATTTACCGTGTAATTGTTCTATTATATTAAAAACCAAAACATGTTACTGTGAGATAAATATGAACCCTGCTTTTTACTAGACCGACACGCCGCAGTGAGCAAGATTATCAACGTGATACATGTACTCGATTCACAAAGTAACAGTGAATACGAAGACATCACGGTCACTCTACCCAGACACATTCTTCTGACTCTGAGCCAACCAGTATTTGCTCTTACTTCTAAATGCTGTGTGTTTGGCGAAGCAGCAAATACATTTGTACCAATATCCAAGTTGTTGGTTTGACTTGCAACAATGGGGACTTATTGGAAAACGCAAGTCTTTAAGAAAACAGCAGTTGAACAATGAAAAAGTGCCCAACTTAATGCCTTATTCTTAGTCTTAGTATTCAATGTTATGTTTTGTAGACCTTCCTTTGTCTTTTAGTTGTTTTTCGTTTTTTGCCATGGCATTGTCATCTCAGGCTTTTAATAAATCGTGACTACAATAGAATTAAGAATGGAAACGGGGAATGTGTCAAAGAGACAATAACCCAACCAAAGAACCGAGAAAACAACACAAGGCCATAATTGGGTGTTCAATGCAGCGAGAAAATCACGTACCCGGGGGCGGGTTTGAGCTTCCCCTTAACAAACCTGTATACTAGATTCATAACATTTTGTTGAGGCAAAGTAAAATTAGAGAACGCAAACAAAAAATTTCGCAATTTTTCCATTTTTAAAGGGACATAACTCTAGAAAGGTAAAAGTGGCGCTACCCAAATTCGTACTTGATCTGAATTTTGTGGTAATAAGTATTGTGTATAAGTTTCATAACATTTGGTAGAAGCAAACTTAAGTTAGAGAACGGAAACGAAAAAAAATTCCGCAATTTTTCCATTTGTAAAGGGCATAACTCTAGAACAGTAAAAGTGACGCCACCAAAATGCAAACTTGATCTGTGTTTTGTGATAATAAGCATTCTGTATAAGTTTCATAACATTTGATTGAGGCAAACTAAAGTTAGAGAAAGGAAACCAATTTGTGGGACGTACGAACGTACTGATGGACAAGGGTAAAACTTAATACCCCCTCCAAAACTGAACCTTAGTGTAACAATGTATTGCCTTGTATGTCATGTTTAGAATTTGTTCTTCATTGTGACATTTGTAGTCATCCCTTGATGAGTACACACATTTTCAATCATTGAATTCATTCTGTTAAACAATTCAATATGTGTAGTTAAATATCTTTAATAACATGCTATGAGCCACTTTAGAAATTGTAAAATCTTAACAAGACTTAACTTGGTCCTTGTAGACAATAGAAGAATATTTAATGTGTTCAAAGTAACATTTAAGGATTAAACTTAATAAGGAACAAAGTATGGAAAACTAAAAAAGCTGAAATATATCTTAATAATCTGATAAACGTATTCTGAATTCTGACCACTCACCAAAGAAACAACTCTTGTAAAGGGCCTTCAAAGGAACTCTAGAATTTTGTTTCAATGGGTTCTTGTGTTCTTTCAAATAAAATAAATGTGGATAGTGTCCACATGTGGACACAGATGATGCCCCGCTTGCATATCATATATTTATAAAGGGACACAACTGAAGAACCGTAAAAGTGACGCTACCCAAATTTGAACTTTATCTGAGTTTTGTGGTAATAAGCATTGTGTGCAAGTCTCATAACATTTGGTTAAGGCTAACTTAAGTAGAGAACAGAAACTAAAAATTCAGCAATTTTTGTACTTGTAAACACGCATAACTCTAGAACGGTTGTGTATAAGTTTAATAACATTTGGTTGAGACAAACTAAAGTTAGAGAACGGAAACGAAAAATTCAGCAATTTTTATGTTTATAAAGGGACATTACTCAAGAATGGTAAAAGTGTCGCCACCAAATTTCGTACTTAATCTGTATTATGTAGTAATAAGCATTGTGTATCAGTTTCATAACATTTGGTTGAGGCAAACTAAAGTTAGAAAACGGAAACAAAAGAATTGTACTTGATCTTAGTTTTGTGGTAATGAATATTGTGTATAGGTTTCATAATGTTTGGTTGGGGCAAACTTAAGTTACAGAATGGAAACTAAAAAATTTGCAATCTTTCGATTTATAAAGGGGCATAACTCAATAATGGTTAAAGTGACACTACCCAAATTCAACTTCAAGAACTTGATCTGTGTTTTATCAGTGGAAGTCAAAATTAAACATTGCATTGTATAAAGCATTGATTGTAGTTGATTCAACTATAATCATGGACAAAGGAAGATAACTCCAATTTTAATAAAATGCTCCGCTGGGCGCAGCTTGATACGACCGCAGAGGTCGAACCCTGAACAGTTGGATCAAGTATGGACACAACATTCAAGCTTGATACAGCACTGAATTTGGATTGTGATTAAATATTTGACACAGCATAGGTTTCTGACACAGAATGAATGTGGTCTAAGAACTTAAATTTTTTTAATTTACCTATTCAAACCATATCATTATTATTTGCTTTTATACATAATTCAGAAATAACCAATTTAAAATGGAAAATTTTAAAGAAAAAAAAAGGGAAACCCCCCCCCCAAATTTTTTGAACCCCCTTATGATTCATCACCCCCAAACTCAATCCAAACCTTCCCTTTGTGGTATGGTACCTTGCAGTACAATTTCATAGAGATCCATACACTTGAACACAAGTTATTGTCTGGAAACTAGAAAAATGCTTGTTTTTGGCCCCTTTTTGGTCCAATATTCCTAAACATTTAGGGCAATTACCCCAAAACTCAAACCCAGCTTTCCCTTTGTGATATGGAACCTTGTAGTACAATTTCATAAAGATCCATACATTTACACACAAGTTATTGTCCTGAAACTAGAAAAATGCTTGTTTTTTGCCCCTTTTTGACCCCTAATTCCTAAAATTTTGAGGCAATTATCCCAAAATCAATTGCAGCCTTCCCTTTGTGGTATGGTACCTTGTAGTATAATTTCAGAGAGATCCATACATTTGAACACAAGTTATTGTCTGGAAACTAGAAAAATGCTTATTTTTGGCCCCTTATTCTTAAACGTTTTGGGCAATTACCCCCAAACTCAATTCCAGCTTTCCCTTTGTGATATGGAACCTAGTAGTACAATTTCAGAAAGATCCATAGACTTACACACAAGTTATTGTCATGAAACTAGAAAAATGCTTGTTTTTTGCCCCTTTTTTGGCCCCTAATTCCTTAAATTTTTTGGCAATTACCCCCAAAATCAATCAAAACATTCCCTTTGTGATATGGAACCTTGCAGTACAATTTCAGAGAGATCCATACACTTGAACACAAGTTATTGTCTGGAAACTAGAAAAATGCTTATTTTTGGCCCCTTATTCCTAAACGTTTTGGGCAATCACCCCCAAACTCAATTCCAGTTTTCCCTTTGTGATATGGAACCTTGTAGTACAATTTCAGAAAGATCCATAGACTTACACACAAGTTATTGTCATGAAACTAGAAAAACGCTTGTTTTTTGCCCCTTTTTTAGCCCCTAATTCCTAAAATTTTGAAGCAATTACCCCCAAAATCAGTCCAAGCATTCCCTTTGTAATATGGAACCTTGTAGTACAATGTCAGAGAGATCCATACACTAACACACAAGTTATGTCTGGAAGTTACAAAAATGCTTATTTTTGGCCCCTCATTCCTTAACTTTTGGTACCATAACCCCCAAAATCAATCCCAACCTTCCTTTTGTGGTATTGAACCTTATGGTAAAATTTCATAGAGATCCATTCACTTAAACTTAAGTTAGAGTGCGAAAACCAGACGACACCGACGCCAACGTCATACCAATATACGACCACAAATTTTTTTTGCAGTCGTATAAAAATTACTTAAAATATATAGAAGAAATATTTAGAAAAAAAATTAAAATTTTACACAATTTTTTTCATTTAGAAAGGGGCATAACTCTAGAACGGTTAAAGTGAAACCACCAAAATTCAAACTTGATTTGTGTTTTGTGGTAATTAGCATTGTGTATAAGTTTCATAACATTTGGTAGAGGCAAACTTTAAGTTAGAGAACGGAAACTAAATATTTTGCAAATTTTCCATTTATAAAGGGGCATAACTCTAGAACCGTTAAAGTGACGCCACCAAAATTCAAACTTGATCTGTGTTTTGTGGTAATAAGCATTGTGTATAAGTTTCATAACATTTGGTAGAGGCAAACTCAAGTTAGAGAACGGAAACCAATTTTGGGATGTACTTACGTACGTACGGATGGACAAGGGTAAAACTTAATGCCCCCACCGCTACGGTGGGGGCATAAAAATTAGAATCAGGACCATTCTTGCCTATTTTGTCCCTATGAAACCAAAATGTTTTTAGTAAGTTTTATGTTCTTTTCTGCACAGTTTGGTTTCATTTTCACCTAACTATTTTTGAAAATAAAATAAAATCTAATACTTATAGAGTTTCAATCATGAAAACTATAACTTCTGTAGTAATAACCATATTGTTTTTCTGGTCAAAAGTAAAAACATTTGTTAAGGGCTTCAAAGACCTATATCTGTAAAGATGGTCTCAACTGATTCAATAGCTCTTTAGATGTAGTTTTTAAAAAGTCCAGCAAGCCAGAAACTAGAATAGACCAAGGTGGACATATTTGTTGACAAATCCCCTCCAAAAATAAGAAAACTGGGATAGGACCTTGCAAGGAAGATTTCTGCAAAGTTTGGTTTCATTTTGTTGAGTGGTTCCCAAGAAAAGGATCAAAATTTGAAGCATTATAGATGGACAACAACACATTTTTCCAATCAATGGAGCACAAGACTGCAAAAACTTGCAGTTATATAACAAGAGGACCCCAAGAGTCTGAATCTACCCACTCATTAAGTAAGAATATGCCATTTTGATATATATTTAATTTTTTGCAAAAATTTATGTTTGATTATTTGTAAATCTTATTATTACAGTGGCATATTTTATACCTTGAATTGATGATCACTTTTACTGTTTACAGTATATACAGATCTTTCTAAGCCATTACAAAATTATAGAAATTAGTAAAATAATGATCATGTTGGGCCATAAATCCTATAAGGAGTCTGACAATTGGGCCATGTTGACCAACTTGAAAATCTAGTTTTTCACAATCCACTATAAACTTTGACAAAATACAAAAAATGGTTAAAAATCATCACTCAGGGGAAATGACTCATATAAGGAGTAGGACAATTTCAGCCAAGTTGACTTATTTGTAGATATTATTTTTACTTATTACTATTTTTCTCTATCTATTATAGTTTCTTCAAAATACAAAAAAGGGTAAAAAAAATCATCTTTCAAGGGCAATTACTTCTCTAAGGAGTCAGTTGACAATTTCAGCCATGTTGTCTTATTTGTAGACCTATTTGTGCTGAACATTTTTGCTCAATTCAGTTTTTTTCTATTATGGTTTCTGATATAATTGGTAAAATCAGCATTAAAGGGCAGTAACTCCTATAAAGACTCAATTAACGATTTCTCAAATCTATTATGGTTTCTACAAAAACTGCAAAAATGGGTTATAAACTTAAAACAGAGAGATATGTCTTACCTTTTTGCTATTTTGAAATTAAAATAGCAATATTTTAACATGTAAATTATGCAAAATATTCAAAGTAAATGAAACCATGACTGAAGGTACAGGGCTGTGCCAATGCTTATACAACTGCATACCAAATATTATTAGCCCATCATAAGTGGTTCCATTTAAACTGACCTTGACTGAGGGGGTAAGGCCAAATTATCTCCATAGAAATCAGATATAAGATATAATAATTGGTTACATTGAAAATGACCAAATCACAAACTTAATATGTAAACTATGCAAAAATTTCAAAGTCAATAGACCATGACTGAGAAGTCAAAATATCATTGATTTACCATTAGGGGTTTCCCTTATACTGACCTAATCACAAACTTGAACCAATTGTTGACACCGCCAACAGCAAGTCTCAATTTATATAATTTCTTTCTATCTATAATAGTTTCTGCAAAAACACAAAAATGGATAAAAAAGTCTTTCAAGGGCAATAACTCCAATAAGTGGTCAATTAACAATTTTGACCATATTAAACTATTTGTAGATCTTATTTTGCTTAAAATTTTACTCTAATAGATATTCCCTTTATTCTATAATAGTTTCAGCAAATAATGCAAATAATAGTTAAAATCATCATTTTAGGCAATAACCTGTTAATAATTTTTACCCAGTTTTTATGTCAGTTTTACTCTTACTGCATTAGTTTTAGAGAATAAGCAATAAACTGAATTTTACCACTATGTTTTATTTCAGCAACAACAGTCATGTTTGATGATGGATCAAATCAATAGATACAATTTTAAAACTAGATTCCATAAGGAACTTTTGGGTAAAGATTGGTAATATTTGGCCCAGTAGTTTCAGAGCAGGAGATTAAAAAAAAAAAAGGAAGAATGTGTCCATGGGACATGGATGCCCTCGCTTGTAAATACATGGCAAATTCAGCAATTTTTCCATTTACAAAAGGACATAACTTGAGATTGGTAAAAGTGACGCTACCATATTCAAACTTGATCTGTGTTTGGTGGTAATAAGCATTGTGTATATGTTTCTTTACAAATGGCTGTGGCAAAGTAAAGTAAGAGAACGGAAACTAATTTTGGAATGTACAGAAGGACAGAAGTACGGACATACAGATGGACAAGGGTAAAACTTAACGCCCCCTTAGCCAGGGCCGGTGCATAAAAAGTTAATGACAACCAACTGACTTACTACAGAAACCATAATTGATGCCAAGTGATGGCCAATAGGCCAGGTGAGCTCAAAATGCTATAACACTAAAATGTGCATTGTCTTATTCTGCAAGATATTTTGTCTTATTTCAAGCAAACATTTTCATCTTTTCTATTTATTTTTATGTTCTTAAAGTTCATAAAAAATTTACTCATACTTCAAGACTGAAGCTGGCTATGCCAAAATACATTTCAAGTCTAGCTTACACTAAACATAAATAAATTCTCATCTCCATTCTTTTAGTATGAACAATATCTATTAAAAAAAAAACAGTTTCACACACATCCTTTTCAAAGTTAGCAGTTTGTTCTTAGTCTTCATTAACATTATGGCAATTTGTAATTTTAAAATCAATATAATAATGGATAATAAAATGCTCCGCTGGGCGCAGCTTGATACGACCGCAGAGGTCGACCCCTGAACAGTTGGGGCAAGTATGGACACAACATTCAAGCTTGATACAGCACTGAATTTGGATTGTGATTAAATATTTGACACAGCATAGGTTTCTGACACAGACTGAATGTGGTCTAAGACCTTAAAAATTTTTAATTTACCTATTATGGTCCAATATCCAAAATCTAAATACATACACGGTTAGATTCTGCATATCAAAGAACCCCAAGAATTCAATTTTTGTTAAAATCAAACTAAGTTTAATTTTGGACCCTTTGGACCTTAATGTAGACCAATTTGAAAACGGGACCAAAAATTAAGAATCTAAATACACAGTTAGATTCAGCATATCAAAGAACCCCAATATTTCAATTTTTGATGAAATCAAACCAAATCATTATTATTTGCTTTTATATATAAATCAAAAATAACCAACTTAAAATGGAAAATTTTAAAGAAAAAAAAAAAGGAAAAAAAGGAAAAAAAAAAAAAAAGGAAACCCCCCCCCCCCAATTTTTTGAACCCCCTTCTGATTCATCACCCCCAAACTCAATCCCAGCCTTCCCTTTGTGGTATGGTACCTTGCAGTACAATTTCAGAGAGATCCATACACTTGAACACAAGTTATTGTCTGGAAACTAAAAATGCTTGTTTTTTGGCCCCTTTTTGGCCCCAAATTCCTAAACATTTAGGGCAATTACCCCCAAACTCAAACCCAGCTTTCCCTTAGTGATATGGAACCTTTTAGTACAATTTCATAAAGATCAATACACTTACACACAAGTTATTGTCCTGAAACTAGAACAATGCTTGTTCTTTGCCCCTTTTTGGCCCTTTTTCCTAAAATTTTTAGGTAATTACCCCCAAAATCAATCCCAGTCTTTCCTTTGTGGTATGGTACCTTGCAGTACAATTTCAGAGAGATCCATACACTTGAACACAATTTATTGTCTGGAAACTAGAAAAATGATTATTTTTGGCCCCTTTTTGTCCCCTTATTCCTAAACGTTTTGGGCAATTACCCCAAAACTCAATTCCAGCTTTCCCTTTGAGATATGGAACCTTGTAGTACAATTTCAGAAAGATCCATACACTTACACACAAGTTAAATGTCCTGAAACTAGAAAAATGATTGTTTTTTGCCCCTTTTTGTCACCTAAAATTTTGAGGCAATTACCCCCAAAATCAATCCCAGCCTTCCCTTTGTATTAAGGTACCTTGCAGTACAATTTCAGAGAGATCCATACACTTGAACACAAATTATTGTCTGGAAACTAGAAAAATGCTTATTTTTGGCCCCTTATTCCTAAATGTTTTGGGCAATTACCCCCAAACTCAATTCCTGCTTTCCCTTTGTGATATGGAACCTTGTAGTACAATTTCAGAAAGATCCATACACTTACACACAAGTTATTGTCATGAAACTAGAAAAATGCTTGTTTTTTGCCCCTTTTTTGGCCCCTGATTCCTAAAATTTTGAGGCAATTACCCCCAAAACCAATTCCAGCATTCCCTTTGTGATATGGAACCTTGTGGTACAATGTCAGAGAGATCCATACGCTAACACACAAGTTATTGTCTGGAAGTTACAAAAATGCTTATTTTTGGCCCCTTATTGGCCCCTTATTCCTTAACTGTTGGTATCATAACCCCAAAATCAATCCCAACCTTCCTTTTGTGGTATTGAACCTTATGGTAAAATTTCATAGAGATCCATTCACTTAAACTAAAGTTATTGTGCGAAAACC